AATATTAAACAACTTCCCAAAGTTTCATGGCAATCGGTTAAACGGTGTAGTAATGCATGAAGGACAGACATTCACACATTCATTTTTATATACAGTATATAGATTAAAACAGAATATGCTAACTGGAAATGTAGATTAGTTAACAATTTAATATATATATTCTACTAAACATAAATTCATACTTTTTAATGCATAATTTTGAAAACATTTTAAATAATAGCGAGGTTGCGGCCGAAGTGTTCATCTCTGAAACGTAAACGTCCAGTGCCGCTTACAAGATAGCGGTTCATGTTTTAGAGACGAAAACTTCGGCCGCAACCTCGCTAATATGTTATTTTTTCTACAAATTCTCTAATCCATTGGTTTACTTTTCAAATCAAATTCTGTGGCAACTTAAATATGTCGCTTCACTTTATATTTTCCTACGCAACCAGGTATAAGCATATACAAGACATCTAGAAATAGTTATTCATTAGTATTATTTTAACAAAAAATAAAAACGGTTATTTAAAAAAAAAAATAGTTTAATATGAAAACAATACAGTACAAATGCAACTTTACTTTTTTCCCCACACTTATATTGATAAACAATTTTCACGATGAGATGTATGGAAATACTTATTTACCATTTCCTCTTTCAGACCTATACAAAACTTAGTTAATTTTATTGTTTCGTCGAACTATATTAAAATTTGTAGATTAACTAGTCATGGGAATTAGATGGTGCCACATATCCTTAAATTGATATCTGTACATTTGGAAAATGAAAATTTGATGGTTATATTTGCAATACCACTGTTTACAGAAGCAATATGCAAATAAAAAAGAAAATAGTAAAATGTTTGACTTAGAATGTATAAAACTAGTGTACGCCAACTTTGTATAGTTAAAAATATAGTTTTTTCAATAAAACGAAGAAAACCAAAGCAATGTTAATTGCAGTACATTCCAACGGCCTTTAATTGTGGAAATGTGCTTGAAGAATACCATAATTGTAGACGTGTTGTCTCATACTATGTGTTAAATTGGGAAAAGTATTAATTGTTTAATTTTTTTTATCTAATTGTACAAATTTTTATCTTAGAAAAGCATTTGTATGAGAGATTAAAACACAAATTAAATATTAATATATGACCTTTACTCGTATTCAGAAACACAATGTAATTGTTTTATTCGAGTGATTAATTCATATACTCTGTTAACTCCATCGTAAGAATTATTGTTACAGTAATTAATTTTACTGTGGATTTTTTAATACCACACTACCCTAAATTATTTTGTAAAAAATATTTACAAGATTGTCTTTTTTTCATATTTACAGTAGAGCGTCGTTTATCCGAAGGTCGGTTATCCGAAACGTCGGTTATCCGAAGGAATTCCAGTCGACAAATTTAAATTTTCGCCAGTGCTGTGGCGCTGTAATCTTTGGCTACGTCTTGGGCTACTCAAATATTTTAAGTTTTCGATACTAAATTAACTTCTGAAGTATAATTTTTTTATTGTTTTTATATTTTTCAATATATTTATTTAGTTTGTACAAAATAAAAAAATAATTTTTAACGACACAATAGTATTCGTTAAGCTTAACATCGATGAAAATTAAACGCGAAGCGACACGCAACGGAGAAAAATTTCAACATGGGATAAATTATTATATATTTTCGTATGCAATCGGTTATCCCAAATACCGATCTTCCGAACAACTCCAGTCCCCAATTGATTCGGATAATCGACGCTCTACTGTATTTTGTTACGGCAACAAATATACACATTTTGTTTGAATACATTGTATTCTATTCAAGTATTATTTGTCAGTTTAATGTCAAATAATTTAATTTAAAATTTTATTTTTGGAATTTTTTGAAAGCTATTTATAAATTAAAAATATATCTACACATCTATTAATTATTATAAAATGCGCATTACATTGACTACATTTATTAATAATACTATTGAATTTCATCTTAATCTTATAGCAAATCATGCTTTAAAAAATTATAATAACGAAAACTTCGGCCGCAACCTCGCTATTAATTGCTCAAATAAAGCTCCAAAATTCAAACTGCATCGATTTCCTAGTTATGAACCTAGGGAGAAAAACATGGGCGATTAAAGTAAACAGGCTGGATGAAAATGAGAAATTATGGATTCCTGGAAACCATGCATTACTTTGTGAGGTAAAAATCAAAATTTTTATGAGAAAGGACTTCTGCTTTGCCTATCTATTTAATTGTACATTGCACATTAATAAACTAAGGCTAAAGTGTATTAAGTCTGTTAATACATTTCAGCCTTTATAAGTATATTGGTTTAGTGAAATGTGAATATTTACAATTAACTCTCACAGGTTGATTTTGAGAAAGATCAGTATGAGAATCACAGGAAGGATAAAAGAAGATTGCTGAAGTGTGATGCCGTGCCTACACTTTTTCTCACAGACCTGCACCTAAGAAAAGATGCTCTGGACCAAAAACAGTGCATAGAAACAATTGTGAGCGTATAGATCCGACCTTGGACCACAGTTATGCTACAAATTTATCTCTTACTAGCTTATCCGTCGCGCATTGCTGCGATCTCAGAAGAAAAAGAGATTCAAGCAAACTCGTTATGATAAAATTCAATTTACATTTTATTATTTTTATTGAAACTTTTTATTATTATTATTCATTTCAAAGTGTCGTTTCAATTCTATTTATTTATTGCAGTACTCGTGGATACACGATATTTTTTCTTTTTCCGTCGGTGCGTACACGAACAAATCAGAAGGTTTTCCCACGCGTGAGCCGGCCACATACAGTTGTCCATGCGAGAAGCACGGATTCTCCAAATTTTGCTCATACACTTGCAGCGATTGTCAGAAGTGCGATATTCCCCATATATATATATATTTAAATCCTTTATAAGTTTAATTATTTAATTGCTCCTTCTTCTCTTCCTTGGCATGTTGTGAAATTTCTGATAGTTGGATAATAAACTGTTTTATTGTAATTTGTCTTTTTAAATTATTTTGAGTCGATATTAAAATTTGGAAAAGGGGGATACCTAGATCGGTAAAATAGGCGAATTTCTTCCTACAACTTCGGTCGTTGTTCGGGGTACAGTTAAGATTTTAACGTAGTTCGAGTGAATACATAATTAGCAAAAAAAAGTCNCCCTAGATCGGTAAAATAGGCGAATTTCCTTCTACAACTTCGGTTGTTGTTCATGATACAGTTAAGGCTTTAACAAAGTTCGAGTGATTACGTAATTAAAAAAAAAAAAAAAAAGTTGAAATAAAGTGATTAAACAAAAATTATTACAAATATCGTAAATAACAGTTGACAAATGCATATATAGAGATATTTTTTGAAGGAGGGAAATGGTCTTCACAATTTGAAATCGATCGAACACACTTTGTGCGAATGCTCGTGTAAACGCGCGCCATTTAACGTAGGGTAAATGCCAGAAAAGTTCGCTGGAGTGTATTAAAAAAACTTTCCGAAGTTTTATGGCAATCGTACTATGCCACAAACCTTCGCGGGAGTATATTAAACAACTTCCCAAAGTTTCACGGCAATCGGATAAACGGTGTAGTAATGCATGAAGGACAGACAGACACACACACAGACATACATTCATTTTTATATATATAGATGACATCTATGCGACCCAGTACAGGTATATGTATAATATAAATTTAAAATATATTTATTAAATATTTTTTTTTATTGCATACTTTGTTTCTTTTCGAAAAAAATGGTGAAGAATGTAAAAGCACGAATGAACATGAAGATAATGAGACATCTGCTCCAGTATTTCATGACTCCAGTAATGTTATTAGCCAGCCCACTGTCACCAAAATCAAAATAGATTAATGAATTGAAATCTCAATTGCATAATGCGTTATATAGAGTTAAAAGAGTGCAGAAAAGTAAGAAGGATCTCTATGAAGAGATAAAAAAATTAGAGTCTAGAGTCAACACACAGAATACAAACATAAAATTTTCAATTCTGATCAAATAATAGCCCTTGGAAACGTGTCAACACGAGGAATAAAATGGCAAAATAATACAGTAAGAAAAGCTCTGCAGTTAAAATACAACTTTTCAAAATGTCTTTTTACATTGTATGTACTGTACGTGAAGTCACTTTTTCGTTACAAATTACACACAAAATCGTTTTATTCTTTTCAATCACATCATATTTATCAAGCCATTCTGTTTGATATGGTCTGAAACTTGTATCGTTTTTTTTATTTTTTTAACCGCCGACAGGGCTACAACTAAAAATATTTATATTTAATACAATAATTTGAGAAGAAATTTCTTATTAACGTACTTGATATTTATACGTATGTAAATGAGAAACTTTAATAATAATAAAAAAATTTCTAGACGCGTACGAGAAGGCTACCATTTAGTTCAGCACTGGTACTGTACATCTCCCCGTTTTACAATGAAACGAAAATAAGTTTATAAAAATCAACGCGTGGGTCATTTAAAAAGTCTTCTNGACGTATGTAAATGAGAAACTTTAATAATAAAAAAATTTCTAGACGCGTACGAGAAGGCTACCATTTAGTTCAGCACTGGTACTGTACATCTCCCCGTTTTACAATGAAACGAAAATAAGTTTATAAAAATCAACGCGTGGGTCATTTAAAAAGTCTTCTTGGGTTGGTGTCTGACCCGCAAGTCATAGGTTCCTCACCACTGCACTAGACCTTTTAAAAATCTTCTGTGTTTTTTTTCCATTAGATTATATTAACGACTGAGAAAATTATATAAAATATATGTTGGCTAGTTTCAATAATAAACATTAACAATACTATAACATCTGTAAAATATATTGGAATGAAAAATTCATATTTCGATGTAATTATAAAACAGTACAAAAGTTAAGAGTTATTAGATGTTAAAAGTTTAATTTGAACACTTACAGTTTAAAAGGTATATAAAATCAATTAACACATTAAACGGTACGAATAAGATATAAAAATAACATTGTATCTGCTATCGGAACATTAAAAACAATTGAAAATGCATTACCAGTTACAGAATTTTTTATAATGTTGTTACATCTCCATTGACAAAACTGTTTTTACATAAAAATAAAACGGAACCCATTCAGTATGAGTCACCAAAAAAACACCAATTTTCTACTTCTGACGGCCTTCTCTTTTTGCTTTTTTTCTCGGCATTCTGTTTTTGCTTAGTCTTATCTCAGTCAAATATGTAGTCGTATTGATAATTAAGTGTACGAAATAAATTGTTAAATAATTGCCTCAGATACGTATAATTTGGTGTTTCATCAAAGCGGAGACCTCTACAGTAATTCAAGTACGTTGCAAATTCGGCTGGAAATCCCTCACAAAGAACTTCTACTGGTATCGATAGTTTTTTTTCACTTACTTTTTCATATTTCTGTATTTTGGTTGCTGCTTCCAAACCTTGCCACGGTAGACTTCCACGATTAAAATACATTAACACATATCCTATCGACTCCATATCGGCTCTACGACTTTGTTCAATACCCAAATGGGTGTTAATGCTAACATATCTGACAGTACCAATCACATGTTTATTCTCACGATAAGGTATATGTCGTCCTCTGCGAATATATTGTTTTGCTAAACCAAAGTCTATGAGATAAAGCTTATTGCGATGTATTCCAATTCCCATAAGAAAATTATCTGGTTTAATATCTCGATGAATCAAATTGTTATTGTGAACATATTCCATTCGTTCAATCATCTGATCAGCTAGCATTAAAACAGTTTTCATAGTAAAATGTCGGGAACATAATGTAAAAAGATTTTCTAAACTTGTTCTAAGACAATCCATTACTAAAACATTACAATTACTTTCTTGTCCATACCAACGTATACGAGGTATACCATCATCACCTCGAATAATTTTGTATAAATTACTTTCGTAGAGTAGTTGTTGATACTTTGCTTTCGTTGACTCCAATTTTATAGCAACCCGTTCTCCATTTGTCATGTCGACGCCAAGATAAATTTCTCCGAACGAACCACTTCCTATCTTACGTATGAATTTATACTTTCCACCGACGATAAAATCGTTTATGGATGAACTACTGGAGCTAGCCATTTCCTTATAACGTATAACTAGCGTTCTACTAACTTTTTATAACCTTACAGTAACTTCTGCCACATTAGAACAACCACGTGCAGTTTAGGTGGGTAGGGCTGTTTGAAAGGTTTTCTTCCTTCGTACGCGTACGCCGTCCGATGTGCCACTCCGCGACGAAAACAAGCTTAAGTAAGCGGTCTCCGATTGGTACGTACTCGGTAAGTATTCCTACAATTTTTTATTTATAGCATATTTTATATGGATTATTCCAAAAAATTATACGTGTTTGAAAAAGTTGGAGTCACATTAGTTTAGAAATTATTAATTTTATGAAAGAAAACATTTCAAACGACCGTACCCCTTAAACTGCAGAACTGCCGATCCTCCTGCCGCCTCTTAGAGCACACTGGGTGGAAGGAATTTAAAAATATAAGTATTTTTTAAATCACAGATTATCGCTATATTAATATAATAATAAATTCATTTATTTTTTGTAAATTAAAAAATATTTTAATAAAGACTTTTTGCACTTTTACAAAAATTATTATTATTATTATTTTTTTTTTCGGTAAAAGGAAGTTCTGATTCATAAGATGAAGACAACCGATTTTAGCGATTCTAGCGGAAGATAACGGCAATTGCGAAGGTGAGCAAATGTTAGAAGCGTGGAGTTGTAAATTATAGTAGTTAATTATATAAAAGAGAAATTATTATATTTTTAATTCTTCATTTATATATTTTCAATTAATTGACGGTCGTATAAACGTAAATATGCATAACGATACTCCATCGCCGCCCAATATGAATAGTGATGATTATGACGACATCATCTTCATATCAGATGATGAAGATATAGAAATTTTAGATGTAGATTCGGATGACGATCAACAGCCTGGCCAATCAAATGACGGGGATGCATCGACGTCACCTGCTGCTGCTTCTGCTGCTGCTGTCGTAACAGTTCCTGGAGTAATCCTTAAACATTCACAAGCTGTTTTTTGTGGCGCCTTCCATCCAAATAATGGCAGGAATTGTGTCACCGGAGGAGAGGATGATAAAGGATATGTCTGGAATTACGTAACTGGCGATGTGCAGTTTGAATGCTCCGGTCACAATGATTCCGTTATTGCTACGGGTTTCAATCACGACGGCACTCTCGTTGCAACCGGAGACATGTCGGGAATGGTTAAAGTTTGGAAAACCGAGAACGGCGAGAAAGTATGGGATTTCGAGTTGTCGGAGTTACGGTGGCTGCAGTGGCATCCTTGCGCTAACGTACTGTTAGCCGGAACCGGCGAAGGTAAAATGTGGATGTGGCGCATACCGTCCGGAGAGTGTAAAACTTTCCCCAGTCACGGTACCAGTAACGAATGCGGAATAATATTAGTAGATGGAAACAGAGCAGTTGCCGGTTATGAATATGGAAAAATTTCGATTAGGAACTTGAGGGGTGCTTCGGTAGTTAATGCTGCTACCGAGAGCCCTCATCAGGAACGTATAACTGTTGTTGTTTACTATAAAGATAATATTCTGGTCATGAGTGGATCGACAGATGCTACGACAAAACTTGTTAATCATATTTTGAAATCGTTTAATTCAAAATATCTCAAGCTAGTATTGGCTTGCCCCTGTACATCACCTGTACATCACACTTTGCCGTTAACAATAGTCATCTGTTAACTGAAGTTTTGAATTGAAAAAAAAAACGAGACTTTCGGTTTGGATCGGAAGATCATATATAGTTAATTGGGGCCTCCTGTCTCTAAAGTTTCTCACATCTGGTCTCTGATTTCATATAATTCCGTTCTCGAGGTTAAGACACGCGGACGGACGACAACGACAACATTTGGAAATAAATGTAGCATTCCTCCCAAAGCAAAATTGTCGTGTTGTAAGTAAAAAAAAAATTCTCAGCCTTCAGGAAATAAAATATCATGGCACGAGAGGTACGAGCGAAAGTTTCAAAGTTGGATCAACACTCGCGGACGGGTCAAGTTGATTAAGCTATAACATTAAAATTTAGGGGCGAGATCCTTTAAAAAGTCAGAAATTCAAGCAGAAAGAATGGTCGTTTCCCTCTAGCTCAGTCTGTTTATCCTCTGTGTCGAGACTTAATTTTCGTTCGGCCGTATTATAAAGGTTTTTCGGTATTTTTAATATTAACTTTATCCAGTTTCATGTTACATTAATAGGCGAAACCCGCAACCCCGACGGCGACCGAGGAATTTTTCCGCAAAGCGAAATCCTAAGAATTTGATTTATTTTATGCCATGGTCGAAAATGGACGAAAAAGATATTTATTCGAACGAATTTCGGAGATGGTCAAGCGTAAGAATTTAAAAAGATCGTCTTTTACTTCTCCACGGTCGACATTCTGCGCCATGTAAATGCAGAAGATAATTTATTTATCAAATTTAAAAAAGAAAAATAATTATAAATTAATTAATTTAAAAAATTTTAAAAATTGATTTTTTTTTAAAAAAAATTCTAATTTTTACGTAATTCGAGCATTGTTGACGCGTTTTTTAACGTTTGTTCGAAATACGTCACACGTGACGAATCGCAGTTCGATTGTGTTTCTCATTGTAATCGGACGTGTTTTTCTTTCGCTCTTCGATTGCGTGCTGTTTTTTTGCGGTTTAAAGACTTTTACAGAGAAGATTGAAGATTTTTTAGGTAATTCTTAGTCCGTATTGATCCGAGATGTAAGAATTTATTTAATATAACTTGAACAATCGGTCCCAGAAGACATCTCGACACATCGTTCGATGATCGAATTCGAATCTTTTAGATTTAAAACGGCGGCTGCGGTGAGCAGTTTGCTTTTACTCGGAAAAATTTAAGCATTAATTCAAGAAATATATTTATTATTTCACATTGTACACTGTTTTCAAATGAAACGTTTTGTAAGATAAAATTGTCTAATATGCTATTAATAAATAACGAAATACAATTAGATTAGTAATAATGTTAATCAAATTGTATATACAGTAGAACCTCGATTATCCGGACTAATTGGGGATGAATATAGTCCGGATAAGGAAAAATCCGGATAATCGAAATAAATACTTTAATTTGTCTTTTAATGATAATACAACACGTTTTCTTTTCGATGACATATCGGCAATATTAAAAGTAAATACTGTATTTAAATCGTGATCAAATTTTCAAGAAACAAACGTTCGTATTGAATTTGGAATACTACTGACCAACGCTAACAGACTACCTATTGTTTAAAAGGCCCTCTGGTGGCGCAAGAAGACGGATTTTATAAAATAAAAAGCAGTTGAAACTGCATTTTTATGAATAAAAATTTGACAAACTA